GAGGCCAGCCTGGTCTACAGAACCAGGCATATATAGAAAAGCTCTGTCTCACACTGGGAGGTGTTGGCATATGCCTTTAATCCCAGCACTTGGGAAGCATAGGCAGGTGATGTCTGTGAGTTCAAGGCCAGCCTAGTCTGTAGTGTAAGGTCCAGGACAGGCTCCAAAGCTACACAGAGAAACTCTTAACAACAACAACAACAAAAGCCCTGTCTTGAAAAACAACAACAACAACAAAAAAAATCAACAAAAAAAATTCACTAACTCAAAGTGCACATATCAGTAGGTTTTTAAAGACTTGTTTTTATTATTTTTAATTGTGTAGGTGTGTATCTGCACATGACCCACATTGACTAGAGGCATCAGACCCTCTGGCACTGGAGTTAGGATTGTGAGCTGCCGTGTGGGTGCTGGGAACTTACATGGGTCCTCTGGAAGAGCAGCCGGTGCTCTCAAGCACCCTGCCATCTCTCCAGCCATTTCTGTAGGTTTTAGAATGTTGAGGGTTGCGGGTTCAGAAGCACCGTACATTGCCATCGTCCTGGTCTGCACGGCCATTGGCAGCCACTCTTCATTTCCCAGAATGAAGTGTTCAGCCCAGCCGCTCTTCCCTCGCAGCGCCGTCAACCCTAGGAAGTTGTTAGTCTATTTTCTGTCTCTATGGGTTTGTCGGTTCTGGGTACTATATTTAGTGAAATTGTGCCAGCCATGGTTTCTGTGACTGGCATCTTGCACTCAGCATAGCATTTCAAGTGAGTAACGTTACTTCATTGAACGTATCAGCTGATGAGCATTTGAGTCGTCTCTGCTGTTTGGCTGTGATGGATAATGTTATGAGCATGTGCGTACACACTTTCTGTAATGCTCTGTCTTCCTGGTCATGTGTAAATACTTACCTGACAATTGCTAAGTTACGTGGTACTTTTTATAGACGTTTAGAGGAGCCACCAAACTGCTTTCCAAAGTGGTCGAGCCATTTATAGCCTGTCTAACACTGCGAGGACTCCAATTTCTGCGTCTTAATTGTAGCTCTATTAATTACCAGTCTCATCCCTCTGACAAAATACCTGACAGACGCAGCTTAGGAGAAGTGAGGTGGACGTTGCTCACAGTATGGTGGGGAAGACACGGCAGCTGGATCAGCAGTATCCACACGGGGAGGCACGTGGGTGTGTACAGCTTGTTCACGTCATGGGGGCTGATGGGATTCAGCTAGGTCCCACATTTCAAAGGTTCCACAGCCTTCTAAAGCAGCTGTTGATCCAGAGTTCAAACATACACCAATGGGGCGTTGACATCTAAGTGATGAAAACAGGCGTATTTCACTGTGGTTTTGATTTGTATTTTCAGCGTATCAGCTCTTTTTATAGACAAAATGCTTGTAGGTACATAAACCTGAATACTACTTTTTCCTGGAATCTAACTCATCGATAGCAAGACAACCCTGTTATTGCACAGTATGGTTTTTTTTCCTTAAATTCCATTCTGATCAGTGTTTTAGTTTTGTATATATTTTCATAATTTGTTTTGTTTTAGACAGAGTCACTCCCAGCAGAGAGCTGATTGCTTATTTACTTTCTGTAACCACTCTTAAAACAGACAGTTCATATTCATTCTCACTACACATAGATTTTACTTCAAATTTACTAGGGTTTTTTTGTTTTGGTTTGGTTTTGGTTTTTTGAGACAGGGTTTCTCTGTATTGCTTTGGAAGTTGTCCTAGAACTCACTCTGTAGACCAGGCTGGCTTCAAACTCATAGAGATCTACCTGCCAGGCGTTAGCCACCAATGCCTGGTGGTAAATTTTTTATTTCCTGAGTCTTGTTGAGGTTGATTCAATTTTTCTTACTCTGCTTTATTCTTTTAGTGGGTTTTCTTTAAAGATTCAAACTATATTAATCTATTTTTTAAAATCTTCACACAAATATATATGTTCAGCATACCTCCACACTTTTCAGTCCCCTGCATCCCCTAGACAATTTCACCTCTCACCTCTGCTTTCATGATATATATATATATATATATATATATATATATATATATATACACACACACACACACATACACACATGGTTTCATGTATCTGTATAAAATCTAGAAATCTGTCATTCCAAGGCTGGCTTATTTCGCTTAATAAAATCACCTCCCAGTTGCATTAATTTTCCTGACTTCATTCTTCTTTATGGATAAAAAAATTCCATTATGTATATACATCCCATTTTTTTAATCCACTCCTCTGTTGATGGACACCCAGGCTGGCTCCATAATGGCCACTGTGACCAGCAGTACAGTTACCATCATGTACAAGTGTCTCCAAGTCTGCTGACATGGAGTCTTTCAGACAAATACTCAGGAATCATACAACTGGGTCGTGTGGAAGAGTCACTTCTAGTTTGTTGAGAAACCTTCAATCTAACTTCCATAGTGACTGACATTACGGTTGGAGTAAGATGGAATCTCAATGTAGTTTTGATTTGCATTTCTCCGATAGCTGTTGAGATTGAACATTTTTTCATGTTTATTGGTCATAGTTTTTCATCTCTTCTTGTTATTATTTTGTTCTTGCTTTTGAGACAGGACACCACCATGACCAGGAATATTTCATCTCTTGAAAATTGTATCCTCCATTCATTAGTGCCTTTATTGGCTGGGTTGTTTGATGTCTTTAGTTTTAGTTTCTGGTTTTGTTCTTTGTATGGTACAGGCACTAATACTTTACAAACGAAAGGCCAGCAAAGATTTCTCTCCCATTCTGTATGTGGTCTAGCCTTTCAATTTCACGAGATCCTATTTATCAACAGTTGGTTTCATTTCATGTCTGCATCTTGAAGGGTTTTTCCTGTAAGATTTCGGCTCTTACATTAAGGCTTTGAACAATTTAGAGTTTATTTTTGTGCAAGGTGAGAAATAAGGGTCTAGTTTCATTCTCTACATGCAGCTATCCAATTAGAAACACACATTTAAATGCTGTTAATTAGTATCAATTTAACAAGTTTCTCTTTTGCTTTTACGTACTCCTGCTTCATCTCAGGCCATGATTACCAGGGATTTCAGATCCAATAAGGAAACTATTAAGAATAACTACAGCGATTTGCAGTTATTTTAGAGCAGCTTGTCCTATTCCATAGCTTGTTTTAGGCAGCTTACAACACGAATTCCTCTGATGTTACTAACATGTCTGAAGGGCACATGACACACCATACACACAGGAAGAAGACAATGCTAAGCAGAGGAACCTGTGGATGAAAATTAAGCAGAAAGCAGGAAATCAAAAACAAGCACAAATGTAACCAAGAGAGTTAAAAATTCAAGTCTCAGCCGGGTGGTGGTGGCGCACGCCTTTAATCCCAGCACTCGGGAGGCAGAGGCAGGCGGATCTCTGTGAGTTCGAGGCCAGGCTGGACCGACAGCCTCGAAAACAATACAGAGAAACCCTGTGTCGAAAAACCAAAAAGAAAAAAAAATTCAAGTCTCTAATGCTAAAAGAAAAATTTTAAATAAAAAGAAAAACAAAACAGACTATTCAGAAAACCCATAAAATGCAGCTCAACACACATAGTGGTTTTAACAAAGTATTATGGAGCTGAAATGAACTACAGCAGTCATATTAAGATACACAAAGGCAGGGCTGGAGAGGTGGCTCAGCGGTTAAGAGCACTGGCTGCTCTTCCAGAGGTCCTTAGTTCAATTCCCAGCAACCACATGGTGGCTCACAACCATCTATAATGAGATCTGGTGCCCTCTTCTGGCATGAAGTATATGCAGGCAGAACACTGTATAATAAATGAATCCTTTTTTTTAAAAGATGCACAAAGAACTGAAATTCAACAATTAAAGATGTAATTTTTCCATCTGCCTCATAAAGCAAGGCCCAGCTCTGTGTCTTGCACAAAAGACACACAAGGCTTTCAGAAGGAGACTGTGAAGTAATTCCAAACAACGAAGGACAGGAGTGACATCCGTTGACTTGGCAAAGGACATGCTTGAGTGGTAAAAGTGCGACCTAAGATAACACCGCCTCTAAACCAGGCAGTGGGGGCACACGCCTTTAATCCCGCACCGGGGAGGCAGAGGCAAGTGGATCTCTGAGCTTGAGGTTAGCCTGCTCTACAGAGCAATTACAGGACAGCCTGGGCTACACCAAGAAAACCTGTCTCAAAAACCAAATAAACAAAAAGCAAACAAAACAACAACAACAAACTATCTTGAATATCTGTGTACCAAGTAATATAGCCATCCATCACCTCTCTAAGACAAAAGCTACAGGAGGCACAAGGAGAAATAGATTAATATGAAGAAAGGTTTATATAATATCCTAGAAAAATGAAGACAAAAACGGGCATAGAAGAGTCATATGTCCCAATGGCAGGCTGAATCTGTCTTGGAGGGTTGTATGTGAAATGGGGTTTTGCCACGTATCCTAGGCCAGCCTCAGTTCATACCTCAACGTGGCCGTCAGTCCTCCTACCCCTTACTCCCCAGTGCTGGAATTGTGTGTACGTGTCCCACGAACAACAGGCAAGGGAGGTCTTATTGAGGTGTATGTACATTGACGGAAGAGGCTGCCCTAGGTCCTGATAAAGATAATGCACTGTCTCCGCAAGGGCATGTGGATGGCCACAAAAAATCCTACTAGTATATCTCAGCAAAGCACAGGCCACTCCCTAACATGGGAGCAGTATAAGCATTCTCTAATAATGCTGGGATAAAGCCAGAAATTAATGACAAGTTGGAAAATAATTTATCTTTTTACTTCATGTGGAAAAAAACTATAAAAAATAGGTTATTAAAATGCTTTTCCGGGGCAGGAGAGATTGCTCAGTGGTTAAGAGCGCTTACTGCACGCTTCCCAGCACCACATCGGGCAGCTCTTTCCTTCACACACATGGGGATCCTAAACCCATGCAAGCCCACGCACATACGCATAAGTGAAAGTAAAAAATAAATCTTTGAAAAATGCTTTTCAGAACTTTTGAAAATTAATGACAATGACATTATATTTCAGAAGGTATGGGATATATTTTAAAAGTCCATCAGAGAAGGATACATAGTTTTACATATTCATACAAATAAAAAACAAAAACAAATGTAAAACTAGGGGGCTTGGAGAGATAGCTCAGCACTTAGAAGCATTGACTGCTCTTGCAGAGGAAACAGGTACTGTTTCCAGCACCCACAGGGCGACTCACCACCTTCTGAAACTCCAGTCCCAGGGATCTGATGCTCTGTTCTGCCCTCTGCGGACACTGCACGTACATAGTAGACACATACACAGACACACAGACACAGACAGACACACACACACACAGAGTACACACACACATACACATATAGAGTACACACACGTGTGTGTGCACACATACGCAAAACGATTCAAATATAATGAAAGTAAATCTGCTTGAAAACACCTTCAAAGGGAGCAAAAACGAAAGAAAGAAGAAATAAGCACAAAGGTGTAAGTAACAGAGAATAAAGACTACGTGACCACCCTGAGGGCTGAATCTTAAGAACACGTAGCAGAATAGCAGGCAGTGGCCACTATTAGGAAAAGGGGAGAAGACACACGCACAGCAATTGCTCTGGGGAGTGGTCCTTTTGGTTTAGCATACCCGCTCACCCACATGCGGAAGCCTAGGCCGTATTCTACCCACGAGTGAGCTTATGGCTCATTCTACCCCGTGAGTGTCTTAAGAGCCCCAGACAGTCTAGGCTCTGTTGTCCTGGATGGGATCCTCAAGGAAGCCGAGTCCCCTTACCCACCATGAGTCTAGTTCACAGAGTATTTGTTAACTATGGCAGACTTAATTACTTTCTGGCTGGGCATTGGTGGTGTACGCCTTTAATCCCAGCACTCGGGAGGCAGAGGCAGGTGGATCTCTGTGAGTTCAAGACCAGCCTGGTCTACAAGAGCTACCAGACAGCCTCTAAAGTCACAGAGAAACCCTGTCTCAAAAAACCAAAACAACAACAACAAAAATAATAATTTTTTTTCCGTTGCATGCATATCCCACTGAGCTAACACCAAACAAGCATCAGGGCTGCACTCTCTCTGGAGGGTCTGCAAATAAATCATCCCTTGCATTTTCAGCTTCTAGAGGCTATTGCTCGGGGCTCCTTCCTCCATCCTCAAAGCTGGGATGGGGGTTGAGTTTTCCCCTCACCTTCTGACCTCGTCTGCCTCCTCATCACTTTTAAGATAGCAGAAACGTAAGAGTTAGCTGGTAACAAGCCTGAGCTATTGGCCAAGCATTCACAATTAACATGAAGTTATTTGGGAGTGGCTACCGGCACAGGAAAACTCCGCCTACACAAGGACTTGAGTTTGACTCCAGTAGCCAAAGACAAAGCTGTGCTTGGTACTGTGTGCTTTTAACCCAAGCTCTGGAGAGGTGGAGAAAGGAGGATTCTTGACGCTCGCTGGCCAGCCAGCTGAGCTGAATTGGAAGACTCCAGGTCCCAGTGAGACTTCGTCTCATATAAACAATCTGGATGGTTCCTGAGGGGAAACCCTGGCCTCCACACGAACACCCATACATGCAAACACACAAAGACGAGCTCTCAGGAGCTACCTTTACCTGGACTGTGCGACCTGGAACCCAGTGACTTCATAGTTGCAAACCCAGTCATGACAGTAAAATGGCAGCCCTGAGGACGGAAAAGAATATAGGAAAAGCAAGGCTCGGCGAGCACCATTTACACTCTCACGGCCAAAGGAAAGACAGAAAGAACCAGGATGTGTCTCTTAAGAGCTACAGTGCATTTCGCCAAAGCCCAGGGATGCTCCCACGCAAGACATATTTATGAGGGAAATCCTTCAGCTGCACAGGTGACAAATGGCTCTCCTGCATGCCTGGGATGTGACACTTGCTTAGTCACCCTGCAGAGGGGACCTATGTGTCTGCAGGCATCAGTTGGGCTCCAAAGGGCCAAGGAGGAGCACTCAAGGGGGGAACTGTTAACAGATAGGCAGCTAAGGACTGAGAGACCCCAGAGGGCAAGGAGGCCCTCCTGAGGACTTAGAGCCATCTTGTTCACACCCTTCAAGCTGTAGGGGGGCAAGGGTTAGCTTCCTGTGGGAGCTGTGGCTGGGTGAGGCTGGATGCTGTGCGGACAGCAGTGTCTCCTGTTCCGCTGCTGCCATCCATAGAAGTCAGTCTTTGGAGGGGGCGGGGCACAGAAGAGGCCCAGGAAGGCAGGGGAAAGTAGAAATAGTCAGCCACTGCCTGTTCATCCCTCCCCCCCACACACATTTTAGAAATAACTGGATGTGGTGAAACTTTTGCAAGGAGGCAACCACGCACACTTTCATATGCCCAGGCCTCGGATGGCAAGGGAAGGAAGCCCCAAGAGGAGAAGGCACAGGAAGGAAGCGGTGTCCCTGGAGGCAGGGTTGGTGTGTGGAGGGAGGCAGGGCTCTGTGCTGGCGCAGATCGCAGGGCTGAGCTCCGAGCCTTGGTTAGAAACCAGAGTTGTTTACTCACCTGGAGCACCCTCGACAGCCTGGCATCTGTCCCTGTCTTAGGAGTCCTCGTGTGGCTCTCGTGCTGCTCCTGGGCCCATTGTCGGGATATTAAAGCACTTTTTAAATTGTCACATCTTCCAAGGCAGAGAAATCCTGATGGAAATGCAGCTGGAAAGCAGCAGCGATCAGCAGAGAGCCATCAATATGCAGGATATTTTCCCAGGCACTCGAGGCCTCTCTACACCTGAACACTTACAGGGCTCATTCTAGCCTGTTTGAATAATGTCCAGGGCTCTTGACTGGCAGTTTTGACTGAGAGGGTTTTTTGTTTTGTTTTGTTCTTAGGCTGCCAAAGAATACTGAGTTTCTTAGGGGAAGCTTTAACACAAATGGTTCAGCTCGTGCAAGGCTCTTCACCACCCATTTTTTAAAAAGTATCCCTGTTTCAAATCACTAATTATAATTGATTATAACAATACTTCCCAAGAAGCAGAGTCCCTACTATAATTAACTGCTGGAGAGTAGGCGCAGCAACTGTTTATTTAGTTTCAGTCTACTTGTTCGGAATTTGTTACCACTTGACATATAACTCATAATCAGATCTAAACTCCAAATGTTAGGGAGTCATCACCGTGGGCTGCATATTTCCCAGAAATTTGCTCTTTTTTTTTGTGTGTGTGTGTGTGTGATGCCTGCTACTTTGTGTAGCTCAGAGGGAAGAGATTTTATCCAAAAATGTTAACATATTTATGCCTTTTCTGGGAGCTTGAGATGCATGGCTCCCAGGCATCATGCACAGCTTTCAAGTGCTGGCTTGTGAGAACTGGAAATGCATCCCTCCATGGTCATGCTTCATCAAGCATCGAAATGAAGAGGCTTTGTCTCCCGTGGTCTGTCCCAAGACTTGCCCTGGCTCGGTGTCCTTATCTGTAAAACGTGGGCGGTAACGAAGCTGCTTGGATGAGCATCATCTAAGCATTAGACAGAGGGCTTGGCAGCAGGCAAGCAATTCTGACTTTCATTCTGGGCCAGAGAACAAGGTCGCGGTGGCAGCAGCTAGAGCAGACGAGAGTGGGTATCTGAGCTTGTGCTGAGCCAGGACAAGGACTGCCTACAAATGAGCAGCCGCCCTTTCTTCTCCAGGCCGGGCAGACTTCTAAGACGACGCCCAATGCTTCATTCGGACACAGCCACCAGAGCCAAGAGGCTTGAAATTACTTGGCTCTCAAGCGGTCGGGTGACAAATACGTCATTCGGGCACCTTCTTGTCGTGCTGTTCCGGGCTTCCGGGTCCTTTAGCACCCTGGATTGAGATTTCTGTCTTGAGAATGAAGTAGAGTTTTGTTCCTGGCCTCATCATGTAGTGTGAATTCATGAGGATATTTGCCAGGCTTTGGGAATGCCTACCAATATTCACGCTTCATAGGATACCATGTCACCAGTTATTGAGATGTCACTCTGGTAGTTCGGAAAGTTGACACATAGAGATTTAGCTTGATAAGACAATACTAAAATGACACCACACAGATGTGTTTGAAGCATCACCCTTTTTGCAGAATACAAATACCAATAGTTTAATTATGCTGGGAGGGCACCCAGTTGTCTACCATGGCCCTGGTTCTACCCCCAACACTGTATGAACTGGGTGTATGGTGACATCAGGGAGACAGAGGTAGATTAAAAATTCAGGACCCTTCTTGGTGACAGTGACTTTGAGATCCTGCCCCCAACCCTACTCCCAAAAAAGAGAGAAGGAAAGAAAGTAGTTTAATTGTGAGTTGCGGTGGTAAAAGCAATGCGGTTATTGCCAAAGCACTACAAATGAGAAAAGTCATTGCACGATGAAGAATAAACTCACCAGACACAGGTTGTTCAAATCCTCCATGCTTGCTCACCAAGGCTGGTCCAGGGCCCAGCTCTTGGGAGTACCCTGCTTATAGTGTCTGCATACCTGAGGCCTTGACATCAGATAGCTTATGGCAACAATGAAATTTATGGTCAACAATGCCATAGGCTAAGATTTGGGGTCACAGTGCACTGCTCTGACCTCTGAAATGCTGGGTGTCTTAGTTACTGTTCCACTGCTGTGAAGAGATACTACAAACAAGGCAACTCTTGTAAAAGGAAGCATGTAACGGAGGGCTTTACGGTTTCAGACGGTGAGTCCATGATCATGGGAAGCAGATAGATAGGCATGGGGCTGGAGAGAGAGAGAGAGAGAGAGAGAGAGAGAGAGAGAGAGAGAGAGAGAGAGAGAGAGAGAGAGAGAGAGAGAGAGAGAGAGAGAGAGAGAGACTGGGTCTGTTGGGGTGTTCTTGAAACCTCAAAGTCCACCCTCAATGACTCAGTGACAAAGTTCTCCAGTAAGGCCATACCCACTCCAACAAGGCCATACTTCCTAACCCTTCTCAAACACTCAAACCCATGTGCCTACAGGGGCTGCTCTCATTAAAAGCTCCACTCTGGGGCAAGGTGCTGAGGCTCATTACACAGGCGCCCTGTGTCCACAGCCTGCCCCCAGAGTTCCTGCGCTCCAAAGTGTCCCTGCATGGCGGCCGTTCTTGTGCCGTGACACGTCCCAGCTGGGAGAGTCTGTGTGTGATTCTTCAGGTGGTGACCAGTTAGACCGGGTCCTTAGGTTTCCCTATTGCTGATATTAACCTCTAGTACTCGGCCGTAATACTTAAAATGGGTCATCTTGGGGGCGGGGTCGTATAAGTCTTCCTCCAGTAAGTCATCAGAAACAAGGATTGCCTTGGGGACCCCCGGTGTAAACATAAAAGAAAAATTATCCATTTGACACCTCCTAAAAATAAGTTAAGCACATGGAGATCATACAGGCACTCAAGGTTATTTCTTTTTTCTTTTTCTTTTTTTAAGTGGGAAACAGCCAGGCGTTGATGGCACACGCCTTTAATCCCAGCACTCGGGAGGCAGAAGCAGGTGGATCTCTGTGAGTTCGAGGCCAGGCTGGACCGACAGCCTCCAAAACAATACAGAGAAACCCTGTCTCATAAAATCAAAAAATAAAATAAAATAAAAAATAAAGTGGGAAACAGATTATTCTCTGTTTAACAAGCTTTCCTCAGTTAGTACACAATGGATGTATTTTCCTCTGCCCCTAAATACAGAGATGCTATTTGTATGACATTCTACCATATAGAATATATAGAAGTTGAGGTCAATTATCCACAAATAGACATGTGGCTGCTTTTCTCTTTGTGTTATAAACAATGCTGCAGTAAACACCCTCACAGATAATCTCTTTGTGAGCTTTTCTAATTGTCTGTGGTATAAATGTAATGCAATTATTGTATAACAAGGACTGTAACACTGAGCCAGCGAGTGGACTCAGCAAATTAAGGCACTTGCCGTCAAGCCTGATGACCCGAGTTTGATCCCTGGGACCCACAAGATGGAAAGAGTGAATTCCTATACGTCGTCCTCTGGTATCTACAAGAATGCCACATCCTGTATTCTTCCTCTACCACAGACAAATTAACGGATTAATAAAAGTTTCAAAGTCTGTAATCCAAAGAATTTAAGTACTATGATGAAATCACTTGAGGTGATAAATGAGTCATGTCACAGGAGGTAAAGTTTTTAGGACTCCCACCAGGAGGAATTCTGATATTTAAAATGATTGGAATGGGTCTAGAATCTGAAGAAATCCTCACTTACATTAATGGAAGCCTGCATCCCCACTATTTCCAATGTATCAACATCATAGGCTGTTATTTACTGTAAGTCTGAAAATATGCAAGAGTTTTTGCTGAGATTTATAACAATCCATTTGTCAGAAGTTTTCAGCTGTAAAGACAAAACCTAGCCCAAAGCCCCAACGATCAAGTGAGATCAAGTGTACCTACTAATAATAATCTAGCCATCTGCTGTCAAAGGCAACAGAGTCCAGGATCCATACCACATATCATTAACAATGCCTAACAGTCAGGGGAAAAATAAACAGAAAATGAAATCTGTAATCAACAGGAAACAGCAAATTAATAAGATCCATGCATGACTAAGATATCAGAATCACCAGACAAAAACTTATAAAATAATTGTTATAAATATATGATTTGAAGTGAAAAAGGCAAAATGAGTGAGCAAGGGAAAAGGAACTCTTAAAAATAATCAGAATTTTGAAAAAGTGAAATTCACGGAAAAATGGACGGATTTGGGAAATATATTAAATGAGGTGACCCAAGCTCAGAAAGACAAAATCTACACATTCTCTCTCATATTTGTTCAAGTCCAGACTAGGCGACACGTGAAGTCCATGTCTCCAGAAAACTGGCCACAGCCATCAGTTGATTCTTCACCGGGACAGACAAGCAGGTGGCAGACAGCCAGGAGGAAAGATTCGACACCACTGGTCACTTGGGAGGTGGAAACTGAGACCAGTGTTAAAACCTAACGGGATGAGTCAGGACACAAGGCTGCTCAGACCAGGAGCAAGCAGGTCTCACACTCAGGTGACATGGGCGTACCGTGGACACCACTCTGGAAACACTGGGTGCTTAGCATCTACCGACCACTGCCCCCGAACCTGAGACCTTGGGAATTATCCCAGAGGAATGAAACTATTGTTTCACATAAAACCTTGTGCATGAATGTTTCTAGGAGACTTACTCATAACTGCCAAAATATAGAAATGTCCAAATGTCCTTGGCATGTGGTGGTTTGTATGAGAATGGCCCAAAGGCCTTCGTGTTTAAATACTTGGATTCCGGGTGGTGAACTGTTTGGGAAGAAGTAGGAAGCGTGGCCTTGTTGGAGCAGGTGTGTCACTGGCGGTGGGCTTGGAGGTTTAAAAGCCCAAGCCAACCCCAGTTGCACTCACACTCTGCTCTCTTTCTCTCTGCCTCCTACTTGTGGCTCAGATGTAACTTCTCAGCTCCCACGCCCCTGCCATGATGGTCATGGACTGGTCTTCTGAAACTGTGAGCCCCATAAACCCTTCCTTCTATAAGAAACAACTCTGAGATACCATCATACTCCTGTCAGAATGGCTAAAATCAAAAACCCCAATGACAGCTTATGCTGGAGAGGATGCGGAGAAAGGGGAGCACTCCTCCACTGCTGGTGGGAGTGCCAACTCATACAGCCACTTTGGAAAGCAGTATGGAGACTCCTCAGGAAAATGGAAATCAGCTACCACAAGATCCAGCAATTCCACTCTTAGGCATATACCCAAATGATGTACCTTCATACAATAAGGACATCTGCTCAACTAGGTTTATAGCAGTATTCTTTGTAATAGCCAGAACCTGGAAGCAACTGAAGTGTGGATAGAGAAAATGTGGTACATTTACACAATGGAGTCCTACTCAATGGAAAAACAATGGAATCTTGAAATTTGAGGGCAAATGAATGGCACTAGAAGAAACCATCCTGAGTGAGGTAACCCAATCACCAAAAGACAAACATGGTATGTACTCTCTCATATATGGACTTTAGACATGGATCAGGGGAGTGCCAGCATACAATCCCACTGCCAGAGAGTCTGCGAAACAGGGAGAACCCTAAGAGATATGCATGGTAACCCGGAGAAGGGGAATGTGATTAGATCTCCTGTTGAGATTGGGAGCATGGGGGAAAAGGAGGGGAGAGGAAGATGGGAGAAAGAGAGGAGGACATGGGGGAGCAGGAAGGTTAAGTCAGGGTAAGAATAGAGGAGAGCAGGATGAGAGATACCATAATAGAGGGAGTCATTATAGGTTCGAAGAGATCTGGCACTAGTGAGATCCTCACAGATCTACAAGAATGACACCAACTGGCATTAAGGCTACCTTAAATGCCCTCCCCTGAAAATGAGATTCATGACTACCTCATATGCCATCCTAGAACCCTTACCCAGTGGCTGATGGAAGCAAAGGCAGACACCCACAGCTAAACACTGAACTGAACTCCTGGAACCCAGCTGCAAAGAGGAGTGATGACCAAAGGAATCAAGACCCAGCTGGCAAAACCCACAGAGGCAGCTGACCTACACAAGGGGGAACACATGGACCCCAGACTGATGACTGAGAGGCAAGCATGGGACTGATCCAGACCCCCACTGAACCTGGGGTTCAGAGAGGAGTCCTCGACAATCTATGGTGCCTCGGATAGTAGATCAGTATTTATCTCTGACACACAAATGGACTTTGGGAGCCCACTCCACATGGAGGGAGGTTCTCTCAGCCTGAACACATGGGGCAGGGCCTATGCCCTGCCCAGGATGATATAACAGACTTTGAAAATCCCCCATGGAAGGCTTTACCCTCCCTGGAGAGTGGAGGAAAGATGGAGTGGGATGTTGGGGGGACTGGAGGGAGGGGAAAGGAGGAGGGAGAGGGAGCTGGGGATAACATATGTAAAAAGTTAAAAAATTATCATAAAAAATGTTTCCTTGTTCATAGTGCCTTATCACAGCAATGGAAAAGTAATTAAGGCAATAGGGAAATAGATAAACAAACTGTGATAATTTCTCTAACGGAACTCTATTGATCAGGGACATACAGTTGATTGGATTCTAGGGCATTGTGGTAGAGTGAATACGCCTATCTTAAGAAGATAACATACTGTTGGAGCCAAATTCTACAACATTCTCAAATCGACAGAAATATAAAGCTGGAGAAGAAGTTTACGAGAGCCAGGGGAACAGGGATCAGAGGGACGAGAGCAATGATGGTAAAAACCATAGTACAAGATCATCCTTGTGCAGCGATGGGCTGTTCTCTATCTTGCCGGGTAACTATGTAAACCACACTGCATACAGGCACACTTATGCACTCGTCTGTGGAGACACCAGGGTCAGTTTCCCGCTTCTGGGGTTGTGCTTAGGCGGCATGCTGCTGCTCAGTGAGGGATGGGCAGTCAGGATTTCCATGTTGTTGCTTTCTTCACGTGAATCTATAGAAGACTGAAGTCAAAACACTGAAAGACTACTCATTGCTGAAGGCAAAAGCAACAATGGTGTTTAGAGGGATTTAGAACACACAGAATAGGTAAAATGCACAACAAAACAACACATCAGGGAAACAGCATGAAACACTGTTGTGTCTCTGATGTGAAGTAGAGTATTAATTCAAGGTCAACTGTAGTGATTAAAGAGTGCATACTGACTATTTACACAGCAGTTTCTTCTCTCCCCAGACTGGTAAGTGATAGAGAGCCAGATGGGAGGGTTAAATCTCTGTCGGGTGTAGCTAGAAAGCGAAAAAAGGCATAAAAGAATACTGTA